AAAACTCCTTCAGCAACTGCACTGGTAGCTCACCAGGTGGTACAGCCATGTTTTCTCAGATGTGTGATAGTTGATAGGCTACTTGCCATGGCTGAAGGTCGAATAAAATTTCTTCTGACGGCAAAAAACACGGCAATAGTTCAGTCCGAAGTGTCCCATACGTTGTACACATATCTGCAAAGTATTGATTGACAAGCTCAGCCTTAGTGCTGTAATCAGCAGCTCGAGGTAATTCCAGGCACCAATGCGCAGCCTGTCGATTAGTTAAACGTCTTGCTTGTCTGTACCAAGACCCACTTCCGGCACTAGCAATTTTTGTCATCCGTTGCTTGTATCACCTGGTCTTGGTAACGTAAATCTCTTGACGTACATCTTCGCTCAAATTCTTTAATTTGTCGATTTGGTGACGGCTGTGTGCCCTGTTTCTATGGTTTATGAGGGTCTTAAGTCACCTTGTCATCCAAGGGGCTCATCAATTTTGCACTAGTACGTAATTTCTGGGAAACACGCCTCATTAGCCAACTGGAGTTTGCTCTCAAACATCTCAGCAGCCTTGTCAATATCTTGCATGTCGGTGACATCTCGCCAGTCTTAAGAACAAATCCATCTGTCAGACTGTCTAATAGATGAGTCTGTTAGTGGCCTTACGAATGCATGCAGACCGAAATATCAACCTAACTATATCTCAATTCTCCTGGTTTTTCCGTGGAATAAGGCTAATACTTCTGTCTTATCTGTGTGACTAATGCTCTTCGCTAATGCACTGAACAACTTACGTAGAGTGAGCCGCCCTGCGCCAGCTGAGTGGCTCGAGACTGCCATCTGTTGGATAGATTTGGAATATATCGCCCTGATACTATTTGGACACGCCAAAACTCATCCAACTCTCCCTATCTCTCACACCACTTGCGTGCCACCCAACAACGGTTGTCTGCCATCGGCAAAGAAACTTACGCGGTTGTATATGACACTCAAAAACTAAGACACTACTTTCTGGGCTGAAAATGCATCGCCATGACGGCCCTGAAGAATCCAACGATGTCCTATCATTCTCGATGAATATGGCCACGATGTTCAGTACATCTCTTGCAAGCAAAACATTATTGCCTACACATTTTGACGTCCCGAACCACCATCAGGGGTAATTTCGTAGTGAGCATATCCTCCGATCAGACACCTATCGTAAAGAAATACCCAGTAGAATAAGTGCTGGACTTGTACACCAACTAAGTACTCCAAGAAGTACTCCAAAGCAGAGAAATGCCCAGAAGAAGAGGT